ACTGGCCGATGTGAGTTTACATATCGCTAAAGCATGGTGATTGTTTAACTGGCGTTTGAATGTTATAACAATGTTTACATATATGTTGTATAACACACAGGCACGCCAGACCAGTCAAGCTGTATATTAATAGCCGGCAGTCCTAAAAAATTAGATTTGACAATTAGTCATTGTTCAAGAGTCAGTAATCTGTCATTAGATAGTATATATGTCGTAACCCTGAACCATAGCGTGTTATTCTGGATGGTGGTCTTAACTTCAAATTAAGTGTCAATATGTATTTATTTACAGCACATTGTGTTCAGTGCTGGCATACTTTTTTATCAACTGTTCACAATGTGTGACAATAGCATGTCAAAAACGAGCACGTTGGTTTTGTATGTTGACAGTGACAAAATCTAACAAATTCATGAACTTTATACATTATTTATAAACATAAATCTAAAGCTCAATTTGATCAAAGATACTAAGAACATTAACATAATATCGCGTGCCACCGAATATGACGTCGCTCATTTAAATGGAATGAAATATACCAGTCACACTCAGAGAATGCCAGAAAAAGTGAAAAGAAGCTCAAGCCAATTACTTATGTCATTATTCATGCTATACTATCCAATTGATGCTTAAAAAAATATATATGCAATTACATTTCACAGATGATGAGCTTGGAAACTAGTGTTACGAACAAACGAAATATTGGTTGAATTTTTTGGGGAGTAAAACGAGAAAAAACAAATATTACTACTACATTTGTTGAGGTTTACGTGATCATCATGACGTTTAATTTTTAATATTATTTTTAAAATGCATCATTTACGCTGTACATCAATATACATAAAATCATTGTCTGACGTAGTTGGTCCATCCCAAAATACAGTTTTCGCAAAACATTTGCATCCGTTTGTGATTTGTTTCATATATCCAGTGTTTGTCCAAGTAAAATAAAACCATCTGGATGTATCCATATTCCTTCCGCCACAGGATTAGAATCAACTAAACATATATAGCTATATATTTATCTTCTTCAATTAATGTTACATCAGTTTGGTTTTGTATATTAACAAGATCTGAGAACATAATTGAACATAAAATGATGTCGTAAACGTAATATGAACGTTGATATTCATATGTATATGGCGCTTGTTTGTTCATATTTATAATCGTCACTTGTTTTAATGACTGTGAATAAGACTATTGTTTGATTTTGTTGTTAATGTTTCTTGTATACGTTTTTGAAGCTTGACTTACTAGTCAAATCTTGAACTAAATTGTTATCATAAATTCCATCTCATTGGCAAAATACTCCCGTGGAAGTGACTCAGATGTATGCTTTCTTCATAATTGATACAATACTTATTTCGATTTGGTCACATAAATGAGTCTACTTGTGGGTTAGCCTCTGACACGTTTGTCATAATAAAGAAATCAGGCTAAAGCATTTTCACCGCCTTTTACAATTATTACAAGTATAGGAACATACAAGAAATATTATGTAAAACTAAAACTAAATTCTAATGATTAATAATTCACGATGATATTGGGTGTTTTTTGTACACATATCAAACTCGTTTGACAGAAAATGCGCCACATAATAACATAATCAACCAAAACTGTTTGCAATTCATTCTGTCATGGCTTATGTAAGGAAAATCAACGTGGCTGGTTTGTACATTGCGAGTAACTTATATTGAATATATTATATTTAGCTTCTATGTATTGTAACCATTTTTATTAAATATAATTGATTTTGTTTTCTTGGCGTTTACTTGTAACCCTCGTTTGTTTGCATACCTATGTAAACAATTCATAGAATTTTGCAGTCCATCTTTACTTTGTTATATCTTCTGCATGCAACAGACGAGGAATCGGTGTGTTATGTAATTGTGGCGGGAGGCTGTCTTCTTTATTTAACTGGCCAATTAAGTCAATAATGTAGATATTAAATAATATAGAACAGTCTTGTTTTACACCGGCGTTCTGTTGTTTTTCATCTTATGTTTTTATTATTGTGGCTTTTAGTTACATTACATCATATTGAATAGTGATCACTGAATGAATTAAATGTATTTATAGACAAATGAATAACGTTACGGTTCATGTTAAATGAGAATATCGAGTAGTCCACTGTGCTTGATCCAGATATCTCATGACAGGTGGCCAGTTTTGTCACCATTTGATTTTCCATTTAATATCAACAGTTGTTTTAACTGACCTATCTGCACAAGTTTTCTCCAAAATTATTTTTCCTTTTTTCTTGATTGTGTCGTAAAATTTTCACTGTTTTTCCAACAGTGGTCTTGTGTAGGCAAGTGTAATTATAACTGTCTGTCTGTCTGTATGTATGTATGTATGTATGTTATCCATGTCACTTGTCCTGACATTAAAATCTTCTTGCTCTTTTGTTCAAGGTTTTTTGCCAATTCTTCCAATTTTTTTGATTTCGTCTTCCAATTCAATGCTGGTGTATATATGCAGTTACCACATACATATCTTCTGACTGTGAACTGGGATGTGTTTGGTATCATTGTTATACCTTCTCTTATCGAATGCTTCATTGTCACGATTTCAACTATAAGCCAAGGGTGGACAAATTCCCCTATTTTTCTCGGGTTGGACTATTACCAAATAATGACACAAATGTATGGGATATTATATTTTACTTTCATTTATAGTACTTGTAAATAAATTAATAATACGGCCATAAACATATAATTAACTTACACCACTCAAATGCATAAATAAAGTTACATTACAAGGATATGCTCTAAAATACAGGAAACAATAGGGTCTACTTATCAAATAAATGTCAAGTACATTCCAGCTGGTCAATGGTGTACGAGTCTTCACCACGTGGCCGGTCTTTGTTGTATCACGAAACTTGCAGAGCGACGTTCCTTTGTCTTGATATTGTAGGTAAGGACTTCGGGCGGCACTGACGAATTTCGCGGATCACTGAAACGACCTGAAACAGAAGACACCTAAAACAAGCTCTAAATTCAAGAAAGGGAAACAAGAGGAAAATAAACACACGTCGACGGTAAACCAAAAAGTGACCAAAACCCTCAGCTTTCTTACGCAAAGCATTGTGGATTCAAAAATGCCATCTACGGCCAAAACCACATTTAATCAGACACAGTGGAGGGCGCTATTGAATTGAATTTCTAAATCAAAATACATTTAAATCTGTTTGTAATATTTTATATTTAACTTGAGCCATACATAACAATTGACACTTCAAAACAGACGAGTAATATAATATATAATAGTGTTCATGGAGAGCACCGTCGGTTACGAAAGGTATCGCAAAATGTTTGCAAAGAAATAGCAAACTAAATTATTCTTCAATATTTGTTTCATATTGTATTTATTGTATTTCTAAATAACAGCTAAATGATTATGTATTACAGGGAATCACAGAGAATTAACACCTGTCTAGCGCTGTATTACTAATTCGGGCATTGATAACAACACCGTGCATGTTTAATTCCATCGGTTATCAAACTTGTGACAGGTACATGGTATGCACTTGAATGAATATGAATATGTTCCTATATAATGTCATATTGTTATAATAAATTCTATATTGCATTTATTAACACTAAATACTGCAATTATATTCACCTCGTGTGTGACTAGATCATCTCTTGATTGATGCAGTTAAATAACAATATATGGATAATCATATATCACTGACAACGTGTGCGAGACTTTCCTAATGAAAGGTGTATCCGGGTTTTGACTTATGCTTCATTATAGATCAATATCTGATAATATATGAACGTCTTTAATATATCTGCATATTATATTTTTACCCTCTCGTGTGCGATTTCATCACCAATATAAAATTACACAATTTGTGTAATACTGGGATAATTTAGACCGATGGGCACCAGCATAGTTCAATATAAGTATATGCACATATAATTAGAAGCAATAATGCATACCGGTGAATCTTGCACATACGACACTACACATGAATTACGTGAAACAAAGTATATACGCAAAGTATATGCTTGATACAGTTCTACCGTCAGTATCGCCCGCCCCTGCAAAGGTTCAGCACTAAACGCGACCCTCACCATGGACCAACGCAACTATCCAATTGGTAAAAGATAGGGGTTACGAAATTTCGCACTGTGGACACCACAGCAAGGTCGGTAACGATACTACGACTAGGGGAGAAACGGCCAGGAAAATAACAATTCTAGAAATTAACGACATAGTATGACAACTCAAAACCCAGGTCTAACTAGTATGTTTTGCCTTTTGGCCCCAGCTCACCAGAGAATGCCATTTTATGTTGTATTTAGAGATGCCAAGTTCAAATCTCAAATCTGCAGAATAAGAGATAGACCTCCTCAATTGCCGATTTTATATACTTTCATCACATCAAACATCACTATGAAATCTGAAGTTTAAAGTTAGAAGTCTGGATTTTGGAGTTTGAAGTATAAAGTCCCGGCTTTCGTAGAATGAATGCTTTGTGACTGACTTTTATTTAAGGCAGGCAATGGAACTTGGTTTAGATTGTGACCGCAATTGAAAGTCGGGGTATTCTGTTAGAGATTGAACATTGTTATGTTCTATTTGACCCTGCTTATTGTAACAAACCTGCGAGGGCGTACAGATGTTAGCTCGGTCGAAGTCTATTGGTACTGTGTGGAGTTCGACTATCTATCAATATACCTATGTATGTGAAAGGCTGGACGATAAAGATTTATTTTGTGATTTATTGTCCATCGACTTTAGAATCGAAGGTATCTCTCTTGCTTCCGCTTGGCATTTGTTTACCCATCCATTCAATTTCAGTTTTCATGTCGCGCATTCAAATGATTCCGAATAACATCCTCATCAGCCTAATTCTCTCACATTGTAGTGCCCAGATAAGAATAGCTTTGCCAAAAGGCAAGTCAAAACATTGAACCGTATTTTCAGGTATATATTATATTGTGCTTTGTTAAAATAGCTATTCCTAAAATTATACGCTCAATGCGAAACACTCAAATGCGAAGGTTTTGTAAATTTATTTCTGCCGAATTGCTGCCTCTATCCATCGTCATACTGGTGTATTTTTCCATAATGCATTGGCATACCGAACTATCAAGAACCAAACTTACTCGTACAACCATTGCACGAAAAGGGAGCCCGGAAGCCACGTTCAAGCAGACAGAAGCCTGCAACTACGATGTTGACTTGCTAGTCATGATCAACAGTGCAATCTATAACTTCGATCTGAGAGAGTCTCTTCGGTTTACATGGTTACATCATTTGAAAATGAGAAAATTGGTTGTTAGGCACGTATTTGTCGTCGCGGAGACGGAAGACCATGAGGTTCAATGGAAACTTAATCTGGAGAGCAGAACCCATGGCGACATTATACAGGGTGATTTTATAGATAACTATTATAACAACACATTAAAAATGAAACTGATTCTGCATTGGAGCGCATCGTTCTGTTCTAAGATACATTTTCTACTAAAGGCGGATGACGACATTATTGTGAATCCATTTCACATGTATAGCGTGCTAAAGTTGTACGCAGGGAAGCAAGATCTTCTAGTTGGTAGAATAAGGCGAAATATTAGGCCAACCAGAGACCCAGTTCACAAATGGTACATTTCATCTGATGATTACCCGAATGCAACTTACCCCGACTATCCACTTGGGTTTGGCTACCTTATATCTGGTGATTTAGTTCTGAAACTAAATAAGGCTACAATTAATACACCAGTTATTCCGATCGATGACGTATATGTAGGTATGTAAATAAATTTCTGCAAACTTTTCATTGCAAAACTCGACGAAGGTGAAGGTACGCGAGTGTATTGACAAATATGACGCAGGAAGATTAAATATTTTACATCGTGGTTGACAATATCAAAATACTCAAAATGTCAAAATGGGTTCCCTTGCCCATTTTGAAAAATTATTTATAAACCCCTTGTGTGCCTCGCGTACGTTTTTTTGGGGGGGCGTTCGATGGAATACATGGCAATATGGAAACAGATATTTGAGATTAGATAAATTAAAAATAATGTGTCTTGTTATTATTAGTAAAGTAAAAGATTAGATAATTTTACTGTATATAAATATGAGCCTATATCCTTAATATAGTGCCAAAATACGTAATTATTTAAACTGACTTTCATTATTAATATATTAAGAATTCGACAAATCCACGGGATTTCCGTCATGCCAAGCTAGTGCCTCGAAGAGAGTTGGGTTTGATGAAACAATGCTGCCCATTCGAATTCGATTTTGTATGCACAAAGGAGTTTCGTTTTTCTGCTTATCGCAAAAAAAAAACAAAAATAAAAGCAAATAACCACTTTAACTGTACACACTTTATTTGCAACGTTTCGCTCACGTACGAGCTTCGTCAGGTCGAAACAAATTTTTGTTCTTTCACCCATTTATTTGAAGCCTGTGCATCCTTCTTGGATCCAACTATTGCCGAACTTGCCATGGTGTTAGTACTTGCTCTTCTACTTACGTTTGTTCTGCTTATCGTAGTAATAAGAAAAACATTTCGTGAAATGAGCCAAACGCATGTACGCAATCATAAAATCATCCGCACCATTGGACAATAAAACGAATCAAACGAATCTTTAATTCCTTGTTGCCAGTTAGATATATATCGTAACATTTGGACTTATAGGATTAAGATACGACTACGACCAAAGACCATATAAGTGCTGGCAATCGAAAAACTATCAGCGTATGTGATACATTGTAAATTTAAGTGTTTTAAAATATGACACATTTTTGTACCCACTTTAAAAATTACTTGTTTTATAATTAAACACATTAAGTGTTTTTCTTAAAATCGCAAATGAGGTATTTTACAATATTGCTGTTTTAAAATAAAACATTTTTACTGTTTTGTGGTAAAACATCTAAAGTGTTTATAAGCTTAGCTTGTCCCCACTTTAAAAACACTCAATTTAAAGTGTTTATAATATGCATAATGTGTATATGGTGAGAGCACATGCAGTTAGTGTTTTTATTGCAACATTTCAGGGATGTTTTTGCACATAACACATTATGTTAAGTGTTTCCAATAGAAATTGAAAAGTGTTTCAACCAGGAACATGTATAAAATGTGCTGATTATCACAACACTTTTAAAAGTGATTTTACTAGAAACACATTTTGAAAAGTGTTTCAACCAGAAACATGTATTAAAATGTGCTTATTATAACTTCACTATTATAAGTATTTTTTCTAGGATCACATCTTGAAAGTGTTTCAACCAAAAATATGTATTGAAAAAATCATTATCATTTTGGAAAGTGTTAATGAGCAAAATGATGCGTTGCATGATCGAGCACTATTGTACAGTAATCATAACATTCGATAAAAAATCACATAATCAAGTATTTATTCATAAATATACATAAATAAGGTAAGTTTGAGTAAAACATTTAAAAAACAGACATAGATAGTTGTTTTAAAAAATAAATCGTGAAACTGTGGATACAATATCCAATAATTGTGAACATTGACACTTCAAAACTGACGAGTAATATAATATGTATATAATAGTGTTCATCGACAGCACCGTCGTATACGGGAGGTATCTCAACATGTTTGCAAAGAAGTAGCAAACTAAATTATTGTTCAATATTGTTTTCATATTGTATTTATTGTATTTCTAATAATTGTACAGCTAAATGATTATGTATTACAGGGAATCACAGAGAATTAACACCTGTCTAGCGCTGTATTACTAATTCGGGCATTGATAACAACACCGTGCATGTTTAATTCCATCGGTTATTAAACTTGTGACAGGTACATGGCATGCACACTCTCATGAATTTGAATAAATGAAGCTTTTTATTATTGAAAATACTAAAATCAATATTTTTTTAAAAAAAGTCAAAAAGTGTTTTAATAACTTCCCATAACACTTTTTTTAAAAAATTCTAAAAAAAACACTGTTTTGATAGAAAATACAGGTGTTTTATAATATAATACACATGTTTTTAATTGCATCATCGCGTTTTCAATTAAAACGGTGTGTTTTAATGAAAAACATGAAGTGCTCCTAAGATTTAGTGTAATAACAGTGTACAGCGTACTGATACGCTACACTGCCAGCTCGTCACACCATACATCGCAGATTATATATGTTCGTTAATACTTAACATCATGCTGATGTATCGACACTCGTACCCTTTCCGTATATATGTGACAATCATTGGACGAAGCCACCGTTAATGCGATGAGGTGAATGATTCCAAGAATGTTATATAATGTTAAATTCCTTACTCCTGTTACAAACCTTGAATACACTCAAATGATCTTAAGCCATGTATTAGGCCACCGTCAATGTCCCTGTCGTTCTCGTTTATTTTGAAAAGGTCACCAAGCGTTACCTAACATTCAATTGTCTTAATGTGGTATTGATTGTGAACTCTCCTTTAACAGACGCTCAACACAACTACTACTCCCACAGTACGCAAATTACAGTTATATTTACATATCGGCGGGTCTGCTTGGCCTATATAAGTACATAACGAATATCACGTGACCCTTGACGTCTTTTCTATAAAAAGACGGGAGTGTTTCATTCTCGGCCGTCGTCGTCGGTCGTCGTCGTCGGTCGGCCATATTATTTAGTCGTTGTTGTCCAACAACATGGATCTCTGGACGTAGCAGTGAGGCTGTCCATAGAAACCAACTTATGTCAACATATTGTAGTGTATCTACCGATTGAAACCTTTCACGATAAATGGCGTATTTTATATTGATAAAATATATCTGAATAATTCCCACAACAAGCATAAACAAGAAAAAAGCTCACGCCTACATGCGCCTAATTATGGGCTTAAAATATGATCGTAAGATTCAGAAAAATCTGCGAATAATAAACTAGTGAATATACCTGTTGTGGGCGGACCTTACGCATGGTGCAGTCTGTGCACGCGAGTTCCAATGGTAATGTACTGAAGTCATAGAGACAGCCAATCAGTGATGACACAGAATTCTGTGCCGACTACGTATTTACATAGCGATTCGCCAGACCATTCGAGTGTACCCGGAATGTCTGGATTCCAGACTAATAAGTATACTAATAAATGAAGCATACTATCTGAATGTGAAGCTAGTGGCCAGTGGAACTGAAAGCTGGGCATCAGCGGTTAAGGACACTACTATATCGAAGTAATATCAAGACGACTCTATATAGTAATGATAAAGGAAATACACAAGGAAATAAGTTACGCATACACAGAAATAATATACAAGGCACCTCTAATGAAAGTTGTCTTGAAATAATAAGCAATCTGGCATCAACGTGTCAGTTCATATGTGCTACATAGATTAAAAACTACTTTTTGGAACGTCGCCATTGTTCTAACTAACTGATAGTTAAAGTAGGGCCACGAGGACGCTAACGTTTAGGGTCGTAAACGCTTAAGGCCCAAGATTATTCAAACCAATAATTTGGTCGACGAGCTGTGTGGATTCATGGTCCTACTACTCAATGAGCTAAGCAGATGCACTATCTAGTTTACTATGATATGTACATAAATCAGGTGCGATTTACACAGGTCATTGGCCCATTGCCATTCTATACATAATAAGTTACGTAATACACGTACACTGTGACAACACACAGCTCAAGATGGAGCTGCAGAAAAACCACCTCGCTATAATATAATAGCAATAATGAACTCCCCAGCAACTTATTATGAACTCAAACACACTTTGTGTTCGGTATATATCGCACAAAGTGTACTTCCAACCAATATGGGTTGGTGGTGCGTCCATTAGTGTACATTTAACGGAGTAGGAACGTGGGTGATCGCTTAAATTGGCCTAGATATAATGCAATATTGAGCAGTGCGTCGTCCTTTATTTCCCAAACACTGTACTTTTAAAGTGGTTTATCTCATGTCTTTGGTATTTCTGTACTGATGGGATGGGGATGGTGTCCAGATTTGTCCACCGATCCATATATTCTGATAACACTGTTTCCTTTTTTTGTTTCCATCTAGGAATTCTTCTTCGTGACTTAGGAGTTCAACCAGTGCACAACTTGTACTTTATGCAGAGTGTCTTGCGTGGCGAGTTTTCCCCGTGTACAATGCGTCGAATCGCTGTTTTTCACTATGACAACAAGATAAAAATGACACCTTCTCGACTCCGCGAGCATTGGAGAAACACATTTAATTCTACCACAAAATGTAATTAAAAACATGGATGGATGTGTCTGTGTGCGTACTTGATGATGGACAGTGGACATTGTAACGTAAAGTTTTGTTCTCGTATGGCTCAGGGTATTTAGGGTATTTAGCTGATATATTGAATATCATTGTTTTGTTTTCATATCAACTCAAATATAATAGTAATCGCTGCAGAAAATAAAATAATGGTTCCAACAATTGTTTTTGTACTTGAACTATATTTTGTATAAGACGCAGTTACATACTAAATAGTACTATTGAAATTAATAAAGTAATATGATAGTAATTTAATATAAAAAAACATAATTACTATAATACCACCTTTAATCGATATGAAAATATTCATTACTGGGATTCCTTGTGACATGTCGTCAGGCATGGTGTCCGACCTTCACAGAAACCCCAATTTTAAATGTTTCGTTTGATCCGCCGCCATTTTGAATTACGTCAGTCACAACAAACATCATATTCCATTCACGTATTCCATTGGCTTGTTAAGACATGCAACTGCATATTCAGACATCAGCTGTTCAACGGTCGTTCCATCCGGAGAATGGTCGTCACTTTATGTGCACGTCAGCTGTGAATCATATTACCTTTGTATTATTGAAGGACGAACTATAGCACTATTTATAGCGGGGGGGCGTCACCTGCGCATGCGCGGGACTCCCAAGCGATGATAACAACACACGCTAAAACGCAAATGTTCATGGGTAGACGTGTGTTTGTAAATATTGGCACGCTATGACCATCTGACACATGCGCAGGTGACGACTCTCCCGCTTTAATGTGCAATGATTCACACAAAAAGTATTTACCTTATAAACAAATACAACAATCTAGTAATGTCCCGAGCACTTGCGGATGCGGCTGGTAGTCATTCGCCTGTAGTCCACAGTGGCCGGGCAGCGACACACACCCTAATAATTTGCAAAATCCAGAAACCTTTGGTATATTCTGATACTCGGCCACTTAAAAATACCTTGCCCTAAAAACATCACTGATAAGTCTAAACATGTAGTATAAGATGCCACCAGACAGCACAGCATATTACCGTCAACCCGGCATAATCTTAGATTGCCACGTGGTTTCTTGTTACTTTTTACAATTTTGGGCAACACTGCTTCTACAAAGACTCCTTCAATTTCGCTGATTTATTTATTATTTTTCCAGACAGTTCACGACGGGTGTTATGCGGTCAGTGATATATTCGTAAAAAATGTTATAACTGGCTTTTTAATTTCCACTGCCAATTAGACAAAGTGTCACAGCACAGCGCATCATCGGGGAGAACAAAGCTCAAGATGGAATAGTAAGTAACGTGTAATATTACGTGTTCTCTACACTTCCACCATCTGCATTACCAATCATGTACCTGGGACGTGGATGGTAGTTCATTGACTCCACACATAATACCCAAACATTCACATGTAATATAGTAATATTATTTGTTCAGATCACATGTCCAGTGTATTTACTAAAGCACATTTAAATCACAGATTTTGCCAACACTACTCCTTTTCAATATGAGTTGAGACATTTAAACATTCAACATTTAAAAATGTACCAATCTGCCAAGATCCGTGACAAAGTGAAAAGTGATAGCTCTTAAGATTGCAATGCAGTCAACCCTCATATTATATCCAGGCATTATACAGCAAAATGCTCCTCTGTCACACTTGGAGATTCAATTCACAGGCGTGATCCACATGATGAAACGAAAGCACACAGCATGGACACTGATAGAACTGAGGGCAGCATACAACCAAATTTTTCCATATTTTCAAAAAGCGCCTTATTTGAATACTAAATAAATTACATAACAATCAATTCTCAAAGTTGATACACAAAAGATGCATCCAGTTATTATGGTTAAAACATGTCAAGCTAGATGTACAAATTGCGGTTATCATTATTCGGAATGAACAATCTGACACATACAGCGAATATTATTCTGGATTAAAAGTTGACGACATTGCCTTCCAATATCAGAATCACCAGAAAGATAATTCGATATAAAGTGTCCAAGATTTCAGCATTCAAAAGAAAGTCCGGTAGCACAGAATCCTTCATGTTATGTGATTTGAATGTTATACTGACATTTTGTTAGTGAATGTTTATAATACCATAGTGTTGTGGTCTTTTTCAGTAGAATATCACGGTTTGTCATACAAAATGACCCTTTTAATTTAATACATAAAACAAAGGTAACAAATCAATCGTCAATGTGTTCGGCAATGCCTAAAGGTTGATTCAATGAGTTTACTGCAACTGGGTAGTATACGGATGAGGCAATGTTTTCTTGCATCCAACGCTGAGGATCATATGAAAATTCCTCGGTTCATAAAGCCGTTCATAACATGGGCAGCTATGGCATTCGCAGCGTGGATTACAAACTGAGAGTGAATGTGACCCCTACCAATGGTTTCTCCAAATCCAAATTGAAACTTATATGCATAATATATATATTTCGTCCTCACTTTGAATAATGCTGTAGGTTTTATATTTTGATTTGAGTTCAGTGTGTTGTGGCTGTTTTTTTTTATTTCATAATTTATGTCAAGTAAGCTTCATTCGGATCAGAGAAATTATATATAGTTTGCCAAAAGACATTCTTCAAGTCTTCCAGAAATTTTGTGATTGTAATGACTGAAATCGTATTGTTTAAACTTAATTTTTGTTTTGAATAAAATGTTTTAGAATGCAGAATGATTATAATGGTTTTGAATAGTTCTAGAGTCAATGTAATAGTTCTTTAAGATGTCAACAGTACTAGTGTATGAAATGAGATCATTAATAAATATAGTAAATATTATAGGGCTAAGTGTACAACCTTGACTTAAAATATTCAGTGAGACCACCAGATGAAATTACACACGATTGCGAGTTACTGTACATTGATCGGATAGCCGACAAGAATTTGTCATGTATATATACGGGTGCCCGTATTGTATATGTCATGCATATTTCTCCGCCCTCAGCGACACAGTGTCACCAAAACGACGTTGATTGACGAAAGCAATTTTATTCAAAACTGTGATCGGCTATTCATCGTGTAGAATATATAACCATTTTTATATGGTTTTTATTTAAAATGTTCATCATCGTCTGGTACAATGTTCAAACACAACATTGGCATTGCCAAAAGTAGTGAACGATGTCACTAAAACGATAGCTGACATAATGAAGAAAGAAGAATTCGAGTTTTTATGTGTTGTCACATTTATTTATTTATTTATTTATTTATTTATTTATTTATTTATTTATTTATTTATTTATTTATTTATTTATTTATTTATTTATTTATTTATTTATTTATTTATTTATTTATTTATTTATTTATTTATTTATTTATTATTTAATTTTGTTTATGTGTTTATTATTTAATTTTGTTTATGTGTTTGTTTGTGTTTATGTGTTTGTTTGTCTATATATCAAACGCCCCCATACTCAAAGAGCAATTCTGTAAGCGTGGCATACTCTGTGTTCTATCACCCTAATATGAAAAAAAAATCATTCATGTAATCCAAGATGTATTTTTATTCTCATATCAAAGGTTTTCACTTTGATATTTAACAAACTACTTTATCTAAATATCTAGATTTCGAGCTATTTGAATGTTTACATTTATAACATATTTTTATTTTATGAAAAAAAATGACATAGAAAACAAAAAACTATACCTACCAAGAATTTCAGAATATAGTATACATTCCTTTTGAGATATTTGTACAATGGGTTCATACATACGTCTTTTACTTGTTTGATTTTGTGATTTATTTTTCAGATGTTGTTTGTTTGTCATACCTGTACATGTGCTCAGTGTCACGTGTGTGTGTGTGTGAAATGCCGTTTTTCACGAGATTAATTAAAGAGGGGTATAAATAAAGCGTACATATGCATGTCAATTTTGTTTTGGGGTATATGCATGTTAAATAATGTTTTGGACTCTACACATGTCATTTTTGGTCAAAACATAGGCATACTTTTCATGCAAAGGTTTTAACCCTTTTTGACACAAAAATTGCACTTTTGACCCAAAACGTACCAAATAATCAGATGAAGCTAAATTCTAAAACTGGATTGTCATTTTATTTATGAACTTCGACCACTCCAAATAATTGATAAGCTACTGATTTGGTCAGCACACGTTTTTGAAAAATACACAAGAGCTTTCCAAAAATATCCTACCTGATTAGTACCTCTTGTAAGTACAGGTCAGTCGTCAAAGTCATAAAATGAATTGTTCGATTTTAACACTGAGTTTAAATCTAGACAGACTATGGCGAATGTGAGACTGTGTATGCCAATATATATAATCTTTTCGTTGGCATGCAGTTTTTAATATTGTCGTTCGATATTTTTGTATTGATAGATACGTTTGACTATGATTTGTGATGAACTGAAAAAGCTGTTTGTAGTATTCTTTCGATAACATCTCTATAATTACGCATGCGTACTGATTGTTTTGGTATAATCTATAATCACTGCACGTGCGTATTAGTTGTCCTGTAAATGTAACATTTTTTGTTTGTGATAGATCCTAATTCAGATTGATCTAGAGTATATGGAGCATCGATATTAAAAATATGTGTTTTGTCCATATTGCATCTTTAGCATGTATTAACATTGGCATATTTGTTAGGGGTGGTGTTTATTGGGATAACAACGTATTTAGCCAGATACGATGGCGCGAATGGCGCCCTCCGCCGGCGGGTAGGGTCGGAGCGGTCGACGGAGGGCGCCGTTCACGTCACTGGCGATAAATTATAGGTTTCACTCTATATTGGGAACTTGTGCGCGAGGTCACATAGACCGAATGTAATTATTTTGACTTTCAAACCAACGTATTGCAAGAAATACTGTACTTGTATTTCAGCATGTTTCAATAAATATGATATAAGAATAGGCCTTACATTTCCAATGAAGAATTTTCAGTGTGAACAAACCGGTCAACTTTTCTGACGTTGTCAGAAGTCGTGTTCGCTTTTGTCTTATTTAGAGATGCAATGTGGATGAGATATGTTGTTTGGTGCGGTATTTTGATGAATACATTGTATTATATTTTATCACAAAATAAAAACGTATTTGTGTGTGTGTGTGATATACATCGGGGTATTCGTTACACAAAACTCAGACTAGCAATACAAGTCTGAGTACAAAACAATGACATTCTCCTGCACGCTGATTCGGGCGTAAAATTATAATCACCGCACATGCGTATTAGTGTTTAGACAGTATTCTGCCAAAGTAACATTAAAATTTATGTAAATCATAACAAAATTCGACTATCATCATGCTGAGTATCAAATATGTTTTCGTTCGTAACGCGTCTCAAATTTTGTTATTAAATGGCCATTGATCGGCCACTTAAATGTGAAACAAAACAACGTACACATGTTACCGATACAGTCTTCACTGTAGCGTTACAACGTAACGGTTCCACTCTGACCCATCCAAACGAATGGTGTCCATTATTCACGGCCTTTCAACTTCAACAAATATCGGTCCACGCGTGTCAGAGAAATTGACAGGAACGAAAAAATTAAGTACCCCACTCTCCACTCGCTCTCTCAGAATGCGGCCAGCTAGTAGTCATAAAAACTGATTTGACAAGCATGCCAAGTGGAATAAAATCAATGAATAATGTATCAATGTCCAACTCAGAATAAGTACGCTCTAAGAAAAAAATAGTCAGCCATCTTATGAATCACGTGGAAATAAAATGGTACATGGTACTTACATGTATTAGCAGGTTTAATGCGATCGCACCATGAGAGTTCGGAAAACGACCATGGACACGTTCAACAAATGAAAACTGTCAAATTGTTGTTTATTTTTCTATAATTTAATTCCCATTCACACGTCCAAATGATTAATAGTTGTCTGACGATGCGTGTATAATGTGAACATCGTGACAATATCAAATGATAATGATTTACTCGTGCTAAACTTTCATCTTTCGATTTAAAAAAAAGACACATGGCTACTTCCATCTACTAGATTGGATGGGATGTGTTGGCAGAATAATTACTATGTGTGGATTAAATTGAATCCGTCAGAAATTGTCACGATACACGCTATTCCGTAGCATCGACTGAATTGTATATTGATAGATTTATTGGACTATAAACTATCATTTATTCGATGTAACAATGATATTTTCTGATCTACATGCGTGCACTGATTATTTTGGTACGTACAATAACAATCACTGCGCATGCGTAATGTTTGTTTTGAGTTTATTGTTCTGCAAACGCGGAAAAAATTTTTAGTTAATGGTGGAGAATAAAAAAAACAATATTAAAAATTGTATGGTTTCGTCTATATATTAAAGGGTGCGCGAGATATATTGGTCTCATATAAACAAAGATGGCGACTTTGACTGTTGCACAGACTAGGTGATTGGAAGGTATCGAAGGAGTCACCGGCGGTAATCAGAGCAAGTCGCGCCCAGGTCAAACCTCATACTTTCCATTTGAAAAGCACATTGGATTGTAGAAAAATCAGTGTTTATCAACACAAATGTCGAACATGCGCAGCGCGACGAACACCGCGCTTTAAAACATGCTCCCGGACATGCTCATACTGATATCAACACATCGTCCGAATTGCACGGTTTCACTAAAGCCGGCTATTCATAACCCACGAACCCGTGCGTGGTCGTGTTAGGAAACGCTGTATTTCACTGCAGTTAAATTGAGTCATTTGATTGGGCCCGCAGAGGAGCTGGCGCTACCAATCAGCGTTGCTGTATCATAAATGTGAACGTATGGGGTCATCACAGATTAAAACTATGACGGCGTGTAGGCTTTGCGCTGATTCACTGGGAGTCAAGAATAACAGGACTATATTCGTTGACACGTTTCCAAAAGTTTGTATTCCAACGTTGAAAATTGCTTGTTAGGTAAGTGAATGGAGACGATGGAACGTCTAAATATTTGTGCAAATCGTGTTTTATTAAACTGACAACTGTCGACACTGATAACATATCGACTGATATGCAACAAACACATCATTCTTCTCAGATACAGCACTAATCGCTTTCTTTTGGTGGTCAGTAAACTCGTTCACAGAGCAAACAGTTAGCAACACGTTGATTTCTATATTTCACCATTTTAATTTTACCAAGTATGTTTCGTTTTTATCGTGAGTTCTGATTGGGTAATGCAAATAAGCCCGAGTGAATCTTATCGCTTGATGGCGTGTGGCATACAGTAAATCATGTTGAAATCTGCCAAGGGTTGAGGCTTGGGCCGAATAAATGGTCCTTGGCTGGCGAAGATGATATCAACATTGCCCTTTTAACAAAGACATTATAAAAATGGTGCGCCAGAGTCGAGGCGGGAATAGAGGCACCTTCAATGAGTCAACGGCATGCTTTTTAGGGAGTGTTGTTGTACTCTGAATATGAGAAAAATAATTTCATGACATTAATTATACGAAGGCCATTAACACACGATTTGCCATGATAATACTATAATTATATAGTCTTATATATGTCAACGTGGATTTAATTTAGCGAATAACTAATAAGTTTACAGTATCACAACCAGAGCGACGAAACACCGGAAATTTCTGTGCAAATCAGAATGACCTACTACTCATACTCGTATATGCTGGAATTGTATTCAGCACCGCCACATGGGAACATGCCGTGTAATATACCGTTACACCTGTCTCGGCGTCGTCGTCGAGTTGGACTTCGCTACATGCCATACATTTCTATATATCAGAAAAAATCGAGACACACATGAAACTATTTCGCTATTTCAACTTGCATATTATATATGCACGATACAGTCGGAGATCAACAACTTGAACTATGGTAGGTATGGAGGGCGGGGAGGGATTGAACAATGCGTGTAATGTAAAGTGACGTGAGACTGAATACGGTTTAAGTTTAAATAAGCAATTTATTGCAATGGTAATTAAGAAAATAAAGAAATTACTGATTCGTGAAAATTACAGAAAATATCAAGTTTTTTTTCTGTACAATAAAATATATACAAATAATTAAATTATAAAGTTTGTTTCTCTCGTTATTTCTACAAACTTGCAAATATCTTATGCATATACTCGTAAATAATGCTCAAAACAAGCAAAGTCAACGAATGACCCGTAAAATGTAAATATCTCACAAAATATGAATCTAAAGAAAGTAATTATTTCATGGCTTGTAATCTGTTGAAAGTGTCCTGCCATGACGCTGCCGACATCATTGGCGGCATTGAAGGGGTTGTGGCGGTGAAACTGGAAGCGGCTGACTGCAGTACGATGACAGACTGGGAACCGGTTCCGGTGAGACTGGTAGTGACGTTGTTGTCGGCGCGGTGTATTGGTGAGACGGTGAGTACATGCTTGGCGTTGTCGTTACTGCTGCTGCCGGTGTGGTGTATTGGTGAGAAGGCGAGTACATGCTCGGTGAAGCTGGGTACATGGGGGTTGTGAAGCTGGGATGACTGAAGTAGTTGTAGGGTAAAGAAGACGCAGTCATTGGTACGTAACCGGATGGTCCGTAGGCTGCTGCGGCGGCGAATGGGTGGTGGCAGTAGACGGCGTTCACCATGTCGTAACACTGGCGGACTCGGCGACGAGCTTTTCGGCGTCTGAAATCGCCCTTGACGAAGTCCTCCAAATTAGCTGGGTGGATGGACCAATAGTTTCCTCTACCATCGTTGCTTCGTCCGTTTTTGATAAAGCACTCGTTTAGGGATAAGTTATGGCGAATGCTGTTGCGCCAACTTTTGTCGTTGTTCCGGTAAAACGGGTAGATGTCCATGATATTCTGGTAAATATCGCACAGTAGCATTTTCTGCTCACGGACACTCAAAATGGCCTTCGCGATAAGTGCGATGTAAGATTCAGTGGGTTTTTTACTACTCGCATCGCTGGTGCTCGTATCGGAGACTGGTGATCCAGCGTAAAGGCTGCTAGCATCGCTGCTCGAAGTAGTTGAAAAACATCCCGGTGAAATCGGTTGCGTCTGCGTTGTCTGGCTTGCTTGATGGTTGTCAGTGAGCGACTGGACGCTGAAGAGAGTCATGATCATGACGTGTTTGGAAGATCGACTATAACGATTGATCAAGATGTCGCCTTCTGAACAGGTGAATCGAGGTATGCTTGTCTTCAAGAATCCACTCGTATTTAAAGGCATTTTGGCTTCTGTGATTGGCCGTTGATTGATTGACAGGAATCGCCCAAAGGCTGTCCATCATCACCTGAAACCAGTATGTTTCTAAAACAATCGCAACCCACTAAATTAGACAACACAAACCAAGACAATGCTCAACTAATGAATTGTGAGCACAATGACAACTTTCACCGAGCGGGGGTTCTTAAGTTGACAGTTCCAATTATCGCCGAGTGGTGATTTACATATTGATGTTACAAACAACGACACCCCCTTCAACAAGTGCAGTTGTGATGGTAATTGGCGCGCTAAAATGATCATTGTTCAATTCTATGCCTGGGCGTGGGAGTTGGCTAATTTGTTTGCCAACTTTGCAGGTGACTGAGGAGAAAATATGTTGCTTTAAGCATGGACACACTGTCCGTGCTTTAAGTAATACTCGTGCAAGCCAAGACGTTTCACTTCCGTACCGATTTACATAGACAATAAAATAAAACGATACAGGACAAGTGGTAATTTCGTGACGAAATTTACATCCTCTGCTAATCGATAATAGTGTGGGAATGTTGACGTGTGCTGTTCTGCCGTCAGTTCTCCTACGTATTCGGAATTGTCGTGGTTGTGAGGATTATAGCCTTTATAAAACATCACCAAAATAAATGTTGAATGTCATGCATTGTTTTTAAATCGGTAGAAATAATGACATATTCATTTATGATGATATTCGTGAATGTTGACAGATGTGTGCATGGTTGGTGTACATTGTTGACATTGCGTGGCCATAATATTACGTCAGCATCGTACAATTATCATGGTGTTGACATTGACTTTTCATAATTTTTACCAAAACACTATATACTATAATGCCATTCATCAAATATGTAAAAAAGACGATATGGCGTTGCAATTTTATTTTTTTTAATAAAAAGAAAAATTGAATAGAGTGTTCGATTTACGTGACTTTAACAGTAAATAATGACATGCATCGTTAAAAGATGCGGATTAGGCAATGAATCGGTGTTGTTCACGGAAAGATTAACACATGCATGGTCCAGCGCATGATTGGCAGTCCATTTCTCTTGTTCAAGTGCTCATCGAAGTCACTGGGCCATTGTTCAGCGTTATGCATTGTTGTGTTTTGGGAGGAGGAGAGAGTGTTAAACACCTTTGTTCTAAGAAGCCCGCTGTTTATCCGCACCTCCCATGTTGCCCAATGACAATGAACTCAGGATAAATAAACGCTAAGTATGTGTTGGATAGGATTTTGGATTGACGAACGGAGGGGTTTTTGGAGGGAAGTGTGACAAAGAGACTGATGCTATAGTAACCTGTCGATATTTCGACGACGGGGTTCACAATGCACCACACAGAGACCACTTACGTCAAGTTCTTAGTTTCCGTCATGAGTGGCAAGTTTTCATACACTAATCTATAAAAAGGCAAAGGAAACACCACATGCATCTGTACAGTTGAAGAACATGTTTTATCTTATTGAAAATAAAAGTGCAACGATAGGTCACACCTTGCATTATCGACTAGACGTGCGTATGGAGGATTTGCGGCACTCTTCTTTTCACCTCCAACGGAAGAGCACTGAGGCTACACGGTAGGATCAATGGTCTGAGTTGAAATCTACTGAGGTCACGAACTAAAAAATAATAATTAAACACTCACAAATTACTACATTATTATCTCATCACAATGCAACGTTGACGAGTATATTCAATAATTGTTCAATATATTAGACCCTTACTTACAATATACATATTGGGAATGTCATAGCGCGTCTCGTACTATACCAGTGTATTGTTTTAATATCGCCATGGCCAGTTGTTTGAGATATGTTGAAGTTTGTGGCCAAATTCTGTTTTACGTCCTATCTAATGCACACATAACTTGACTGGTTTGTGTGTATTCAAATTCCATCATTGAACGCTTTAAACGGACCGCATAAAAATACATATGATGCTCTAAATGTACATGTATATTTGGGTTATTTTTTAACCATGTATCTTAGAAAAAGAGTATATCTAAGGTCTGTGTTTGAACTTGTCAAAAGACAAATCTAAATTAAATTTTGAAAACAATTTGTATGGGTTATACAAATTTTCGAAAGTATTACGTAGTATCCCAAAATGATAACAGTACAGTGTTTTATGGGAAAATAAACTAGGTGTTAAGTGCCATTCCCGCGTGATTGACATCCAATTGAAACAAAGGACTAGTAAAAAAGACTTTATTAAGTGATAATTAATTTTAATTGCAAAACCAACAAACTCCCCTACTGTTACCAATAATTACTTTGGGTCGCAGTTTGCCTTTACTTGTTCGTTAAAACGTACGATGCTTGACAAAAACGCGAATCAACTGACGCTATCAAACCCGTAACGAATCGGTTCCCCTTTTTTCGTGTAGGGGGCGAGGCTGTATCGCGATTTGGACAATTTGGGCGTATTTGGTAAACGGGGTTTAAATGCGTCGTTGTCACCTTATTAATAGGTTTCCCTCCTCCATTCACAAGGTGGTGGTGTAGCATCACACGAACTGAGAATGCGTCAATTGTTCGTTACCAACCATTATGGTTTTCTATAACATTGTTAAAGAGACACACGAATAAAATATGTGTATTATGCAAAAGAAAAAATCTTCTACAGTATGTATTACAAGAATAGCAGCGGAGTACTAGTAAGATTCGTTTAGTACTGTGGAGTGAATGTGAGCGATTCGCTCTTAAAACTTCCTGTATTGTTACAGCGTCACCGACAAAGAACGACGAACTGTATCGATCCTCAACTGAAAATCTGTGTAGAATGAAAGAGAATCAAATTTATATCTGAGACTGAAAGATCCTTTTGTATTTATTCCATTCATTGGTGATCGTTAGTTAAATAATATCTGGTAATATTCGTGTTTAATAATTATTATTTTATTTAATGTTCGTATAATCTGTAGTAACTTTCTGGTTGTTCATTCTAATTAATCTATGTGAAGGCAAATATATCATCAAAGATGCTAAGCGACAGGAATGTTTTTTTTTCAAGGGATATTTTGAATACGATGGTTTCACACGTTTTATCTTACGTTACGGGGTTTAAGATCACAAGTGTTTTCGAGGTTTAAAATCACCCAACACCCGTCCTCATTGGGGAACGTTGTATAAAAATCACAAACTATTACCATTCGGGGAGAATCTAGACCCACTCCATCTACTTCATAACAGCAATGAAATATGAAAATAGTTGACAAAAATAAATATAATGATATAATACTAATTTCTGTATTACATTGATCGTTCGGGTATTAGTTCTAAATACAAAATCCGCACAAACAAAAGACTAAGTACAAATGTACTGTGATCTACTCCTACATGGGTTAAACGCTTTCTATTATTAGGTAAGATAGAACATGTCTGGGTAAAATCAAGAACTTCGTGACGTAACTAAATATATTTATTGTAAAATGACTATTTTTCACTGGGTTTAAATTTCAGTGATTTACTAGCATTTCAGGCATATTCAGTGGGTATTATCATTTAGATAATGTATTCTATGCTTAATTTTACATATTCACTGCGTTTTAATGCAGCGCATTTTCCAGTCAGCGAAATAAGCAAAATTAAAACCAAGTAAATAATTAACCCTTTTACAGTAGTCATTTTGTTGATTTTTTTTTTCAACCGTGCTTCATATTTAGATTGGCATAGTCTCTGTATAGAATATTCCAGAGTCCATGAACACCTGACGTATAAATATATTCACAAACACATGCCCAAAAAGGTGGCACGCACGTTGCTCGTCCCATTGGCTTCAGATGGTGAACGACACCAACAAACAAAGCTGATCATTGTGCCATTTGTTACATATGCCCAACGAATAACATTTATTCGAATCTCCTATCTGCTTAGTTTGCTCGTTTTTCTGAGACCCTCATACTAAAATAAAATTCACAGGAAATGTTTTCTCCATCAGAGGTTGGATCATTCACAGTATTGTTGTTTGTATCTGTCCGTAGTTTAATCGCGTTGATATATCCAGGATTGTCCAATGGCTATATGACAGCTTCATGTTTCCTGTCAATTATTGTTTTTTTCCTACGAAAATCCCTGTAAATAATCATATATGTTATTATTGACATCTTTAACTATACTGAGTTGTGCCCGTCATTGTAGTTTTACTAATTCATTTTTTTTTTGGGGGATTCTATGTAAACCGTTATTTTAACCGTTCTCTTAACTTTAAGTTGAAGACATAAAGTGGGCATTCTCTCTAATACTACATATCCCTTCTCCTTTCTAAGTTTTGTTGCCGGTTGAATTTTTTTTATTATTAACATATTTATTATTAATATATATAATTTCACGAATAAATAACAATAAATACTAGTATCATATTGTTTCTGCAATTATTCTACACACCAACAGTGACAACTCGCCAGTTTGTTTTTTATGTGTGCTATTATTTCTTGGTCATACTGGATATTTAATACAGCATCTGTAATAATAATGATTTCTACCATGCATTAACATTTATTTGTACAAAACAAATCGTATAGGGTGCGTAGACAAGAATCTCATCTATACGCGACGCCACGTTGTCAATCATGGCGAGCAACTCGGCAGATCATTACGTCACACACCACAAAGTCGTGTAAATGACCCCGGGCCGGTATGCTCCCACTTGTATGTGAACACGTGACTATCGTCAAGTGATCTCAATCCACACACCTATAGCTAATGGATCTACACCCGGGGTGGTAGTCACTGATTTTTGACATTACATATTATATACATTTCAGAGAGATTGTCTACAATAATCGGTGGCAGTAATAAATCCCAACAAGGCGAATGAACAGTGAAGTCATTCGGACCACTAGATACGTGACATCCGAATGTGTTGCTAACTAGTATTTATTTTATCCCCGATATATTTTTTTTTGTAAAATCAGACTTCAATCTTGTTCAGCTTCCT